TCTGTTTGAACCCGTCCTAGTTTTCTTACTTGTTTTTATATTTTGAGGATGAATGAATTAGGTGAGTGCATGTTCGTATGTTTTATTGTATTTTATTTATTATTTTTTTGGAAGGTTAACTCTTGGTAGTAAAAGCTAGTCAGGCTGGGAAACTTGGTAGGCAAATGCTCACAGTAAATCTGTAACGAAACAGTTTGTTAAATGTCTTCCTGAACACCATAACCTATGGTGGTGCTCCTATTAAAGAAGGAAGATACATAACATACTACAACCGGAAACTACATGTGACATATACTATTGGTATCGGTATCGAATTCGACCCGGTACTTGTTAATTATAGTAACATTAATTATGTAGAAAACAAAAGAGCCTGGAATAGTGTAATTTTTAATGTACACTATTCTCGTATATTAGTTATTTATAAAGTTGAATTCTTTGATTTGTCGTTTTTGCGTCATGCCGGCTAACAAATTGGACCTCGTTATTTTAGTACCATAGATGAAAATTGTTGCCTCTAATTAAAAACAAAATTCAAAGAATGTCCGTAGCCATAACGACTTGATATGCATTTTAAAGGACAACATTCAGCTTTACTCGCAATATAAGTTGATTTCGATTACGAATTACATATCAATCATTTTAAGGGGACATACCAATAGTTGAAAGACTTAGAAAATGTTCCATCATGATACAGATTTTAACACCCAGGTATAGATTGCCTTAGCTGTATTTTGCACAATCGTTCCGAATTTTCGATGTGTTAGTCCACAACGTATGTTATTTGGCCGTTCAACTGATTTGATATGAGCGCCACTGATGAGTCCTAAGTAGACGCGCGTCTGGCGTACACAATTAATTCAATAAGCCTGGTATCTTTGATGAGTTTTAATAGGAAATTTTCCTCCTGCTTCCATCAGTTCTCCTTAATTTCCTTATTAAATTTATTGTTCATAGACATTTAAAATTTCTTCTGTAGTAGTTTAAAAGCGCTTCGTACTCAACATATTAAGAACCTGAAAATAGTTTAAGAAATCATTAAATTAAATGGCTTTAATTAGCTTTTAAAATATTAAATGAAACAATTGAAGATCATAACGTTTGTGTAAAGATTACTATTCTGTTTGAATTCAGAGGTACTGATTTTGATTAATTAGACTTTGTACACGATTTTAAGGAAACGCAGAATCTGTATAAATATGAAGTTTATTGTCGTCCGGTTATATTAAATGTATACCGACTGGATGGCATGTATACTGTCTTAGATCCGATTATGTAAGAACAATAACTATTGACCAACTATTTGTTATGTTTTATTTCAGGTGTACTCTGTGCTGTTTCCCTACTGATGTTAAATAGTGAACAACTATTTCGTCTGTTATATTTCAGGTGTACTCTATGCTGTTTCCCTACTGATGTTAACTAGTGAACAACTATATCGTTTGTTATATTTCAGGTGTACTCTTTGCTGTTTCCCTACTGATGTTAACGTTAACTAGTGAACAACTATATCGTTTGTTATATTTCAGGTGTACTCTTTGCTGCTTCCCTACTGATGTTAACTAGTGAACAACTATTTCGTTTGTTATATTTCAGGTGTACTCTTTGATGTTTCCCTACTGATGTTAACTAGTGAACAACTATTTCGTTTGTTATATTTCAGGTGTACTCTTTGCTGTTTCCCTACTGATATTAACTAGTGATCAACTATTTCGTTTGTTATATTTCAGGTGTACACTTTGCTGTTTCCCTACTGATGTTAACTAGTGAACAACTATTTCGTTTGTTATATTTCAGGTGTACTCTGTGCTGTGTCCCTACAGATATTAACTAGTGATCAACTATTTCGTTTGTTATATTTCAGGTGTACACTTTGCTGTTTCCCTACTGATGTTAACTAGTGAACAACTATTTCGTTTGTTATATTTCAGGTGTACTCTGTGCTGTGTCCCTACAGATGTTAACTAGTGAACAACTTATATTTCAGGGGTACTCTGTGCTGTTTCACTACTGATGTCCTTCGGTTTTGCCACACAGAATGGACCATTTATTTTTGTTCTCTTTGATGATTTTAGTGGCAATATTCCATTATTAGTCATTGCATTTTTCGAAGTCATTGGAATAAGTTACTTTTATGGACTGAAACGGTATGAATTGAATTTTTGTTTGAAGTGTTAAAATTCTTTGTACTTAGATATAGGAATAAGGTTTGTCAATCAGTTAAAGAAATAGTATTATTTAAGCGGAGTTCCTACGAAATCGAAGTCGACTTATAATAGTACTGGCGTGTGGACGTCAGCATGTCGGGGTTTCTGCACTATCTTTTGAACAATAAGAAATGCCTTTTCAAAATTTGTCTTGGGAAAGGAAAGACTCATATTGATTTTCGGGTCAATAGGTCAAAGGCAAGGTAACAGCGGCTATTGGTAGGCTGACATTAAATTTTGGGTAGAAGTTTGGATTCCGGATGTTATTCTTGAACCATGATTTCAACTTTTATTTAATATGGTTAGACGATGCCCCCATGTATTGAGAAAAACTCCTGTTAATTTTTATACGCCCGTCTTTAAAGACGGGACGTATTATGGTATACCATTATCCGTCCGTCTGTCCGTCCGTCCGTACGGATAAGGATAAATTGTTTGTCCGGCTATCGCCTCCTACAGTTTTGGAGGTACAACTTTAATATTTAATAGGATGTTCATATAAATAATGAAGGTGTGCATGGCCACAGTATTTTGATTTTTTTCCAATATTCTGAAAATGACAGGTAGTTGGACTTAGTCATTTTTTTGGTACTAGCTGCATAAGGAGATCATGGTTTATCCGGCAATCTCCTCCTACAGTTTTGGAGGTACAGCTTAAATATTTTGTAGGATATTCATACACATAATGGAGGTGTGCATGGCCACAGGATTTTGATTTCTTTTAAATATTCTGAAAATGACAGGTAGTTGGACTTAGTATTTTTTTAGGTCAGGCGGGGGCATCATTTGTGTCTTATAGAGAGCGTAACAATTTCAAGCTGTATGCCAACATCAATGTCTGTCAAATCTGAATTATGTGGAACAATACTCATGCATATGGCAGAGCAGAAAAGGGGAGGCATTGTCCATATCTAGTTTTTATATAAATTTCTGTAAAGCATAAAGACGCACTAAAAGCGCTCATGGCGAAGCTCTTTATCTATTTTGGTATCAATCGATTACAAATCAAGGTCACATCAGCTATTTACAGATCTCGGTTTCGGAAAAATGTTTGATTTTAAGATTGCGTCTTTTGAACCCTATTGTCAAATGTTATAAAACTTGTTTCGATAATGTCTAACGGGGTGAGAAACATACATTGCCTCATTGGCAATCATACCACATCTTATTTTTATATCAATTTTAAGGTCAATAGATCAACTTGCCTAGGTTTCGTTGTAGCGTTCCCGCTTTGAATGCGAGAGATCGTGGGTTCTTACATCGACCTGGACATAAAGCAACCAACAATCCATCAATTTAAACACCGGCCATGTCAAATCAAAGACTTGCAAATTGGTATTTGCTACTTCTTTGCTAATCGCTAGTTATTCAGACGCAAGAGCAAAAACTGATCGGCTCGATCGGAATCAGAATAATGTGTACCGGCAGGGTGACATTTCTTCCTGCGGACTGTTACCGTGTGAACTTTCAAGTTCAAAATCAACCTCGGTCTAGTACAAAGCAGGGTTTATATTCATATCACATTATCATGTTTTGTCCTGAATATGTATTTGATTTGCCACTGGATGTTAAACAACCATCTTCCCATCAAAGGTCATGGTCACAGCCGCTATTGATAGATAGAAGTCTTGGCAAAATGTTGGTTTTGGGATATTACCTGTTCTTTATTTTTCTCTTGTGGATAATGACACTTTGGGGTGGAAAAGATCCAGAAGAGATTTAGGCAAATTATTTGTTCCCACATTTGACATCAATTTTGGAAGGCATAATAGTTTACATTGTAATAGATACAAAAATCTGTTTCTTCTACAAATCCATATAGATCGGAACTCAGCTAATGTTCCACTAGTGCTTCTGTAATATCTCAATTTGTTTTAATAGTATAACCGTCAAAGTTGTCTAGAATTGTTCCTGTTCAGGAGAAAAAATCTATATTACATTTCGCAGTCATTGAATGATGTAAGCAGATTAACGAAACAAAACATTGAAATAGGATTGATTTATTATGCAATGACTTTTACCACGAGACCTCTGATTATAACTTTGGCAAGCGCACGTTCGAGTGAAAGACTGTGATGAAAGAAATGAAAACAAACGTATACTGGAATGTAGATAGTGTAAATTGATTCTGAAAGAAGAATAATATACAAAATCAATAAAAGAATAAGAAGATATAAATAAAAATTAACATCGCTCTATCAACTCAGTTATTTTTCACGTGATCCATTGTTTATTAAGGTCACGATAGATAAACCTCGGCAACAAAACCTGAAAGTAAATTAGTAGCTAAAGTTTTCGATTAACAAACAACTGAATGAAATATATTTAGTCGATTATACGTTATGGATTCGTAATAAATGTGCAAAAAGAACGTACATAGAGGACTTATTTAAGTATATATGCATGCATTTGTTCAATAACTTCCTTAACATTATAATTAAAAGAAATTCGTTTCTTATGGCTTTAAAAGATTCTTTCGTGATAAAAAAGACCTTTGCAAGATCAAAATTTTGCTGAAACACTGATAGTTGTATTTATTAAAACATAAAAGAATAAAGAGAAAAAAGGATGAATTTGCTTACAGAAGTTAATACTGGACAAATTTTTTTTCTTTTAAAAAGAGCTAAAAGGTGTTTTCTTAAATATTCCGTCTTCTGTTCAAACCAATTTTTATTTAGATTTGGAGATGACATAGCTTTAATGATTGGATACAGACCAAATTACTACTGGTTGATTATGTGAAAATATGTTTCACCTTTAGCAATTATTGTCATCTTTCTAACTAGTGTGATAAAAATGGCAGTTTCCGGTACAACAAACGATGCTTGGGATTCGGCTATGGTAAGTGAAAACAGATTTTTAATCTTATTAGTTAACGGTACCGGCGAGCCTCGGTGACCAAAATATTTAAGTAATTCATCTACAGTTAGCATTAGCCTGTCAACACTGAGGATGCGAGTTTGTAATCCTCTAATGGCAGGTGTGTTCTTCTATCTTAAAAGACTAGTAGCTAGGATTGCAAGTTTTTATGCCGAAGGTTGGTAGTTCTCTCCTTTTACTCCGGCTTCGTCCATCAATAAAACTTGGCCTTCACGATATAACAAAGAATGCTGAAAGTGGCTCAACACCAACAGTCAATCAATCACTTCCTGTACCGGAAGTATTATTTACATTTTCAGTGAATGGGTATCCGGAGCAAAGTATTTTATTCTGGTTGGCATCGGAATTTGCCCTGTATTTAGCATCGGCGTCAATATACGTTTTACAAGTTTCATAAAGTCTGAATGTTAACCGATAATGGAGAAAACAATTTTTTTATCAAAAAACAATACGGGAATTGAAATGTTTATGTTCAAACCGATTTTGTTATGATTAGATGCATTATATTGCTCGGAGAAAATTTATTAATTTAAATGATATCAACAATTCACCAAGCACATGATAATAAAATGAGTTATTTGCCAAATTCAAAAAGTTATGGATTTCGTATTGTATTTACAGGCTACAACGACAGCTTTATCATGACCAGGAGGACATAAATTTGTTGCAGCATTTTTAACTCTAACGGCAGTTCTTTGGATACCAGGTGTCGCTTTAGTAAAGTATTTCCGTTTGATTAAATGGGAACCTGAAACACCAGCTTATTTTCCCGAAGAAGAACTGAAAATAGAAAAGGAGATTAAAATATATGAGCCGTCAGATATGGAAAGAAAAGTATTCTACTGGGGAGAGGTTTTGGATTAATGATTGCTCAAACGTAGTCTCCTATTTAATCAGAAAATATGATCTCATATTGTAGCATTTAAACATTTTTTAGAACCGTCATATTCAAGAGTGTGAGCCAAGGCTCCGTCTTGAAGGCCGTACTTTGACCTATAATTGTTAACTTTTTATACATTGTGACTTGGATGGAGAGTTGTCTCATTGGCACTCATACCACATATTCTTATTTATATTATTTTTAATGGCAGTAACGCAATCAGCATTTTATATATGAAATTGTATATATGTCTGTTTTGAAATAAGTATAATGATAGTGCTGATGAAAGATTGGATATTGTAAATAGAAAAAATACACGATACATTTCGTGTCCAATTGTAATCCGGTTCTTTTAGGGTTCATGTAATTTATATTTTACTCTTGATATTCTGACCTAAGTGCAATAAAACTTTTTTTTATTCTTAACAGCTATTTATTGCAATATTAATAACACATTAAGAAACAAAGGACACAGCAATGGATTACATAAAACCGTGACTACCCTTATTATATAGCTGCGACTTTACTACCAGTACGTAATCTGAAAATTGTTACAAATACATATAGGTAGTTCTGAACAGTCATTAAAATTGGGGTGGGGAGGTTAGATACACATATTCATATACTCGCGGCCGCACCATTTTTGGTAGGATACTTTTGGCGTGGCTCGGTATTTATACATCCCGCCATTGTATTATTGTGCTATGGTCTTTTTTGTATTCTTGTCTTTCATTTGTGCTCATGTACTTTGAGTATAGAGTGTCTAAATGCCATTTTCTTTTTCTTCGTTGAAATAGTTATTTGTCTTTATAGTGATTAAGTTTATAACACAATATTGACTGCTATACCCCAATTTTTGACCCTTTTACCTTTTATGTCTGTTTGTTTTGCTCACACGTTGTTGTCAATATAATGGAACTCTATGCAACTGTCATACAAGTGAGAGGTTTAGCTAGCTATACAACCAGGTTTAATCCACCATTTTCTACATAAGGAAATGCCTCTACCAAGTCAGGAATATGACAGTTGTTTTCCATTCGTTTGATGTGTTTACGCTATTGATTTTGCCATTTGACTTTCCGTTTTGAATTTCCTTGGAGTTCGGTACTTTTGCTATTTTACTTTTTTTTATAGCAACCTCTATGCTTTTCTATAAAACTTTTATCATATAAAGTTAATTGCAAGTATGGAGAAAACTTACTTAGTCTTTTGTAAAAACGATGAAATGCGGACGACTTAAAGAAAATAAATTTTAAGAAATATTAGGGTATTACATTTATATCAACATATCAAATCCATCTTTTCTCTTCTTCTTTACATGCATTTACATCAGGGTCTCGACTTCTTTATCCAGCTTCCCTACTACCGCCGATTTTCTCTAAAAAATATGTATTCAACAAAAACGAATGTTTAAATGAATAAAGTAGCATCGACTAAGACGCACAACTGAATAAATAACTATAGCTTAAAAGAACATTAGAAAACGTTACAAATATAAGCAGATACGTTACCTTTTAAAATTGAAATGAGATCTTGATATATTTTTAGTAATGAGGATGTTATCGACACATTTTAAATCAAAAGTAAATACTTCAACAACACAGTTTGTTTGTTAAAAAATGGGTAATCAGCTAACACCAAACAACGATAATTGATTTATAAAAACTTATGCTCAAAACAAGTATTTATTCATATCAATCTGTCACATTTGGCAACCGTGCAAACTTTACCAAAATTTTTACTTCTTACGAATCCGGAAAACACAAGTATTAAGTTTACAAATTCAGAAGTACTGCATCCATTGGTTGTATGCAGATTTAGTGAAGGAATAACAACCCAAATAATAGTAGTAATGCAGTCAAGTATTAGTTATGCCTTCTACAGACCAGGAAGGTACATATCATGATAACTATGACCCTGATAATAATGTCAGATATTTTCCTCAGATATATCAGGAAGGGTTTTGCTAATAAGCAACAGTTACATACATCCTCATTGAAAATGTATAAAAGGATGCCTTTGTCCAGTCGAATGGTATTCCTTACAAACGACAATGAAAGTTCTAACTTTTGTATCCCTGATTATATTTGACATTGTAGCTGGTATTCCATTACACATGTTTTATCCATATGGCCATCCAAATGGCGACACTCGGCTACCTAAGAATGATGATGGAAGTTCTAGTGAAATTTACATTAGTACAGCATTTCCGTACTTCGGCCATCGTCACGGATCGCTTTTTGTAAGTTATCTTTATTACAGTCACTGACAATGTTTTGTACGTATCCTGCTAGGTTAGTTCGGAATTTTCAGTTATCAATGATTTTCAACTTCTTTGTATTTGACGCTAAGGTTTTTCTACCCCCAGGTATAGATTGCTTTTTCCGACATTTGGCACAACTTTTCGATTATTAATGTACTCCATTTTAGTAATATTTTATTTGGCTTCTAACTGTTTTGAGTCAAGCGTCACTGATGAGTCTTACGTAACCGAAACGCGCGTCTGATCTAGTACCAAATTATAAGCCTGGTATCTTTGATGACTTTTTAGTGACCGGTTATAAGACTGTTAGTCATATCTGATAGTGAACATTTGATATACAAACTAAATAGATATAGTGCCACTTAAGTGTCTCGGGTCACATTTCAGAAACCAGAATTCAAGCAGCATGATACGTACTTTTTGAACGCATATATAGGTTCTTTTAACAATTACAGGTGAACACTAATGGTGATTTAACCTTCCTGTCAGCTTTAAGTACATATTCTCCAGCAGCATTTCCATACCAACAAAATACAAAAATCATAGCAGCGTACTGGGGCGATGTTGATACCAATAATGGAGGAGATATTTGGTACAGGGAAACACACGATCAAGTTTTACTTCGACGGGCATCAACAGAAATACAATCTGTATTTCCTGAACAGTCACGGTTTAACGCCACGTGGATATTTTTATCAACTTGGAGCAACGTTGCTTTCTTTGGTGCTGACGAACAGGGAAAACACAGGGTAAGATTTAAAAGTTAAATTGTTAGGTTTTTTTTTTATTTTTCAAAGAAATGATTATTTTTACAAAGGAGTTGCAAAGTTCTACAGGTTAACTTTGTTCACGTGGATTTCATTATAAAAAATTTGTGATACATTGACAATGACTTGAAAAAACTTACTTGAAAAATAAGTAGTTACACCTAGATTGCTGTGCACGTTGATATAAGAAGAACAGTCAACCAACTCAAAGACAAATAGATAAAGACCAAAGACAATAGGAACAACAAAATCTGATAATTGAGTTTTAGTCAGAAAAGAAAAAAAGAAGAAAACACACACACATGTTGTCTATATAAACAATACATGTGTGGTGCTTCTACTCATTTTCGCCCTCTCATAAATAATGTAGACATAAGATTTTTATTTTTTTTTTAGAATTTCAGGCATTTTGCTATTTATAGACCGTCAAATATCTTCTTTAAGACCCATACAATATTTCTAATGATCAAAGTTTCAAGTTTACACATACTTAGAGTCTAAACGAATAAATCAAATGATTTTGTAATACACTGATTGATATATTGACATCACATGTCGTTTACTATGAAACAGAATATTATTATTTTTTTTCAGAGATGTACATTCCAGTGTGTATTGGTGACTAATGGAATTCATTCATTCGTTATGTTTAATTATTACAAGATGCAATGGACAACCGGTCGGTCAAATGGTGGAGACATTTCAACAGGGCTTGGAGGGACACCTGCTCAGGTACAAAAAATGCAACAGCTGAGTCGATAAAATTAAAAATCTTGTAGAAGGTACTTTGAAATTTAGTACAATCTCAAATCAAAACGTTTGAAATACAAGGTGTATGAATAGAAAATTCAACAACAATAGTTAATCAGAATAACAACCTTCAATAGAAGAATTTGTTGTAAAGTTGCCTCTAAGACAACTATCCATCATGACCAAATGCCGTGCATGAAACTCATTTTAAGTCAAGTTATGGTCTTCAACAATCAGCAAAGCCCATACTGCATTGTAAGCTATAAAAACACCAACCTGAACAAATGTGAAAAATTTAAACATAAAAACTCATAGCTTAATTATGTTAAAACAACAAATATAACAAACAAATATCAACGACATCCACTGACCACCTATTAAACAGGAGACAGTGGTGTAACAGCACAAAATAAGAACAAAATATAAAAATCAATTGTAAAGTGCTTGATGTAAAGAAGCACAAAAAAAAAAAAAAAATTAACAAAACAAACCAAAAGTCACAAGCCGATCTCAGAGGACTTGCATTCACTGAAAGTTATATCTAAGCCAATTACAACTAATTTTGAAAGATGTTTTCCTAGACGAATATATCAATACACCCATCGAATTAAGTGTAAAAACTCCAGAAACAGTCTGAGAAAAACATGATTTTTTGGGATCCAAAGTTATAATTATGGACCGTAAAAAACCATCAGCATGACCATAAAACAAAAAGCGTTCATAACTGAATATCAATGCCTATTAAGTAATGTTTTAATTTATTAAAGAATAAAATCAATGATAGTATCGATTAAAATTATATTCAATATTTACTGCAGTAAAGTTAAAAACCTTAAGAAGAAGCGTATTAAAAAGATCAGTAAGATTACATTGATCGTACCTTAATTTATGTGCTCTCTGAACAATATCTCCGTAAAACTAAGAATGTTTTATCAAGGTTTCAAAAAGTTTCTACCACATGTGCAGGTTGTTGAAAACACATCATATTTTCTCAGTTAAAAGAAATATGGTTTCCGGTTAAGCAAGATTCTGAATATAAATAAAAAATTATTTTTTCATATAATATAATTTTTATAATGTTTTTTTCCCAAATTTAATAAAAGTTGCATATATATATATATATATATATATATATAGAGTCTATAAGAATCTACCAACCAGTAAACTTAATAGGAATTGGATTATCAAAATTGACAATACTACACAAACAGGGAAAATTATATGAGTCTAAAAGATTGTGTAACAATACCAATAAATAGATGGAAAACAAAACCCTAAAAAGTGTTGAATATCATCGCACAAAGATCTTTGTGCGATGATATTCAACACTTTTTAGTGTTTTGTTTTCCATTTATTTATCGGTATTGTTACACAATCTTTTAGACTCATATATTTATATATATATATATATATATATATATATATATATATATATATAAGTGCCTAAGAATGTAACTTTAACACACTAATGAGTGTTATAAAATTAGTTGTTATATTTTATATTATTCACGCAATATTTCGCTAAACAAATTAGCTTCATCAGGCGTGTGCATCTCTCAAGGTGAAATCGGATGCATGACAACAAAATATTTTTGTAGCTTGAACTACACAAAATTTGAGTAAAAGTTTAACAAAAAATGACTCTTCTTTAAAAGAAATTTTTCCATCACCTCCTGTTATTGCCTATCGCAGACCCAAAAATCTCAAAGACATACTTGTCACATCTAAAGTAAAGAAACAAGAGACTTCTAAAATTGGATGTTACAAACAATGCGGAAGAACCAATTGTAAGTGCTGTAAAGTCGCCAACACTGACCACTCTTTCAGCTCTCAATTCTTCTCTCAATTTTATAACACTCATTAGTGTGTTAAAGTTACATTCTTAGGCACTTATATAATTTAATGTAGTAACTGCATCAGTTTATTTACAAACTGATCCACGCCTAGATAGATTGAATGTTGATTGTTGCTATTTTTAGACACTATATATACAAGTCTAAATTAAAAACAACATTCAAACCTATGATTGCGTTGGATAATTTTTTTTTATACGTGTGCATGCACAACAAATTTCTTGGTAGAGGGGTCTAAATACAGCACAAACAACAATTTCCAAAAGACCAAAAAAGTGAAAAAGTATATTTTAACAAAACGCATTTGACTAGCAGGTCGAACAACGGATGTTCTTAAACCCTGCTGACTGCCATTTGCGATTGCCAAATAAACGGATCACCAGATGTAACAGAATGGATCTTAACAATTAATTTAATACCAAACAGAAAACAATAAACTTGCGGAAAAGATGGTATACCGCAAACAAAAGGTGCAAAGGTTTTTGTACACCATATCTGGATTTCGACAATTAATGTCTCTTCAGTGATGTTAGGAATCGAATCGGTATTTGGAAGACCATATAATTTACCTCAATTTAGGATAGACTCTTAAATTTTGAAAGAGTCGAAATAGGATGAACGGATCATATAAACCCGAAGGCAAATATAATACAAGCCCAAACGAAAAAACATAAACAAGTCTAAATTGAAAACAACGTTCAAACCTATGATTGCGTTGGATAAAAATCGCAATTTTTATACGTGTGCATGCAAAACAAATTTCTTGGTAGAGGGGTCTAAATACAGCACAAACAACAATATATATATATATATATATATATATAAATCACTTTTGTGTAAATAGAGGGAACACGAAATGATATAATCAATAATACAAAAATGAGATGATAGCTCTTATAATAAGGAAAACTTTGGTCACTAGATTTTTTAATCAGAATCCTTTTGGGGTCCTTTCACAGATGAGTAAATAATTTGCCCCGGTGCAAAGTAAATTTCATTTAAGATTATACTAATACTTTCAGGTAGGTTTTGATGCTGGTGACGGCGAACATTATTATGCAGTACAGGGATCTAGAACTTCTGATATTATAAATATTCCGCAAATATCTAATATTGGAATTGCAGGAAAGTTTATATTTCGTGTTGATATGAATGCAGTAGAACAAGCTACAAGTAAGTTTGGAAAGCTTTAATATAGATATCCCAAGATATTAGTAATCGTCAATTGTATTATTATACCTTCCTTATGTTTTTCAATCATTTATTCTTCGTTACCGAAATCTATTTTTTTTTCATATGTAATGTATATTGAGTTTCTTGTTTAGAAACAATCTTCAATAAAAAATTAATTATTAATCAAAAAGTTAATCATTACTTACATTAAAGCGTTTTTAATTTTTTTTTTATAGAAATTGAATATTTTAACAGTACATAAACTTACTTTGATATTTAATGGAGTGAGGCGTAATAGTGTACAAAATCCATTTTAACTAAACAACACAAAATATTTTTTTATGTGAATTTAGAACTATTTTCATAATTCCCATAATAAGAAAGGAAAACAAACAAAGATAAGACAGGACAATTAATATAATAACCAAACTCGATTTTATTAGCGATTCAAAAGTTTTGTCAATATGTCACTCATAGATTTATTAAATTCATTAATCCTATTTTTTGCAAAGTGATCAATGAATGTGATAACCAGATATGTCAGAATGATGGAACTTGTGAAGATTTAGATGGATTATCGAGGTGGCGCTGTAACTGTCTGCCTGGGTTTACTGGTATACATTGTGAAACAGGTAAATATTGGAAACAAAAAATGGATCAATGCACGACATATTTGACAAAATGGTTAGAAGAGATACTTTTGTCAACCAAAGGTTAAAGAATAAACTGACCGCAATAGATTAAACAATAAATACACCCAAACCATTAACATTCTGTAGTAACCCTTGCCCGAAAGTCATATATAGAAGTAGGTCTTTGATTTCAAATTGATTTTTGATACTGAATTTTGTCTTTTTCCGAGAAGTAGTACTGATTCACTGCAAATAAATCATCGTTAGATATATATATATATATTACAATGATCTATCATTTTTCAAATATAAAAATTTTTAGCTTTTTTTGGTTTGGTTAGTAATACGTTGGAAGTAAAGAGACCATTAGGATTTACAAAATTACATATATAGATGAAATTTGGAATACATAAGGGAATAAATCTTCTTCATTTCATTGCTTTTTATTGCAGTTAAAGAAACTTAACCCATTTTCTGAAATTCGATTATCAGATATTAAAATTTAAGCAAAATATCAGTTATCCAGAAAAACGCGTAGGGTGCACGAAAGATATAAAGTTATTTTCATTTAATCCTCACAGATTTTGAGACTAAATTCACGCTGTACTTTTTATTTCAGACATTAACGAATGTGCAAGTACGCCTTGTCAACATAATGGGAAATGTTTGGATTTGTTGAATGCGTACAGATGCCATTGCAGGGAATGATTTGCTGGAAACAGTTGTCAGATAGGTTAGTAAATGATATATTAAAAATGCTCTTATTTATGCATTCATACAAATGGATAATCATATCTTTTTTATTACTCAAGTTTGGCATGCATTCATCGGTTCATTTAGATTCATACAGATTATTACGTATTACATATAAGTATCAATAAATAAAGGCAACAGTAGTATACTGCTGTTCAATAGTCATAAATCGATAACTGTTTTAGGCAGGATATTGAAGTTTACATACTTTTTTAAAACTTAGATATGACACAAAGGCTCTCTTTTGTTTTTTATCTTTTTGAATTTCATTCGTTCAGGTTCATTTTGCTTCTATTTTCGTGTTAAAAGGTTGAATATTTCATCAACAAAATATTTAAAATTTTAGTTTTCTTTCTTGCAGAATGCTTAAAATCATTTTGTACCATGTGTTATACTGAAGATTTAAATATTTTGATATAAACTTTTCATATTTTCATTCTAGATTTAAATGAGTGTGTGAGTAATCCATGTATGCACGGAGCAACATGTAGAGATAATGATAATTCTTATGTGTGCGACTGTCAACCTGGATATGTAGGAAATAACTGTCAAATAGGTAATAGTTATGATTTTAAGGCAATATAAAGATTACCAATAGAACGCAAACAAAAGTAATATTACCGCGATATTCCTTAGCAAAACAGTCAATGCAATATCGCTTACAAAATAACCCGTTGTGTTTAGTTTTACATAGTGTTCATTTGATTTTGCTACTGTTTTGATTCGAAACGCCACTGATGAGTCTTATGTAGACGAAGCGCGATTCTGGAATACCAAATTATAATCCTTGTATCTATGATGAGTTGTTTAGCCATACTATAAAAGTATTTTTGCACCACACATATAATAATTTTTCGCTTAAAATGTCACCATTTTTCTCAAAATGAAAATAATTTCTAAATATAATTGCATGCGTTTTTTCTTCTTCCTGAGACAGGTTTATGGCGTCATGGTATTATTTATCAACCCCAGTTAGACTTTTTCCTTTTTATATGTTTGTGCACACTGATGTAGCTAGACAGAAAACTTCTTAAGCTTGATGGCTTTATATTATCGTTTAAATATATTCTGATGATGTATATTTTGAATAATTTTTTTACCATCTCAAAAACAAAAAGAAAAAGCATTTTGCAAAGTTCTTTAATATCGCTTTCAGATATATTCATGATGTTCTGTCACTCTATAACCCTCATTTCAATGAGTGCTAACATCTGATATGTTCCAATGAATTTGAAATTAACGATACTTCATTCCCATTGTGGCGGGTATTGAACGAGATTTGACTATTGGTAGACTACAGACACCTTAATTTACCTAAATTATTTTCTTATCTAGACATTTAATTTATTTCATTATTTTCCTTGGGTTAAAGGCTTACAAAAACATTTTTTCTATGTACAAAACAGTTTTTTAATAATCCATATTAATTGGGGATACATTTAACAATACAGAAACAGCACAGCAGAAAATTGGATTGCATTACAAAATATTTTTGCAGAAAATATCAAAAAAAGGGGGGGGGGAGAAGATACCAAGGGTAAAATAAAAACAAAATAAGTCCAATATAAAAAGACAACACCATTGAAAGGACAAAAAGACAGAAGCAATTCACAAAACACTATAAAGAAGACGAACGATTGAGCGACATGAACCTTGCAAAATACCTTGGGTTAACTCGTGTGACCGGTAAGAAATTCCTGCTCTAGCAATGACATCCGTCGTTTGACTTCTGTTATTAAAATACTGTGCTTAGTTGTATCTGATAATAAAGAATCATTTAAATGTGGAATGGATATACAGTTCAATTCTAGACATTGTCGAGAAACTATCGGCCGTGCAAATTATCCTACCTTAAAATCTGACCGAATGCTAAAGTGTTGAGTGAAAAAGTTTCAAGGTTTTCAAAGAACAAAAAATAGACAAGACCGTTACCGGTAGAAACACCGCATGAAATAAATAATGAAATAGAACAAAATAAAAATTGCAAGGTCAACGGTTGCAAAGACGAACATAAAATCAAATCTTATATTATAATTTCAGACATTGATGAATGTCAGAGCAATCCATGTTACAACAATGCTTCGTGTATTGATAAAACACCTGGATGGGACTGTGCCTGTTTACCAGGATATACCGGAAACAGATGTCAGAGAGGTAAGTAACAATAAGAATAAGCAATATATCAAAGTTTTCAAATAAAAAATAATATTTTCACATATGCAAAGATTTTAAATGAGCTTTTTTCTAAAGTAACTGTAAAGAATAAATTATTTCGATCGCTCATGAATCAAACGTAGCAAGATATATTCGTCTTCTAATTCTAAAATCTGAATTTTTGATACATGCAATTATCTTTGCTTTGTTTTATAAATATTCTTTAACATTATCAATTTTCAGACATATACGAATGTCAAAGTAATCCCTGTAGAAATAATGGGACATGTGTGGATTTTGTCGATGGTTATGAATGTCTTTGTTCAAATGAATCATTCGGACAGCACTGTGAACAATGTAAGTTGAATGGTCATGTATTCATCCTTAGTCTTATTGATATATTATGTTATAAACTTGCACCGTATCTACTGGGAAACTGTATTGTCCAACCTTAAAATATTGACCAAACAAGGATCCGACCCTAAATGAATTATACTAAAGCGCAAACGAAGATTGAATAGTAATAAACCGGTCGTGCGAGACCTTCATGGGTAGTCAAGGTCGTTAAACAGTAGTAATAGTAATATACACAAAATTCGGAATTACAGAATATAGATATAGGGAAGATTTAATATTGAAATGGGAAAATATTTTTTTTTGTTACGAAAACATCAAGATTAAGTATTTCAACATGTTGTCGGGGCGAATGGCAATTTTGATAAGATTGCTCTCTGGCGAACAGGAAATACATTGAAAGACCCAACAGAAAAAACACGAATTCCAGTAGCGGTCGTTAATTTCTTCAAGCGTTATAAAATATAACGTAAAGGGTATGGCGTCACACATTTCTTAAAAAACGGACGGGGTTTGACATCATTTTAATTGAACAAGAATCTGTTGGTATACTTTAGAATAAGTGTATACGAAACGTGTATTTTTTTTTATTTCATATGTTAGCTTTAATTGCTTCCTTATTTTGTATATTGAAAGGGATAAATCATTGTTTATCAAGTCCTTGTCTTCATGATGGAATATGTACAAATCAATATGGCGGATTTACATGTAAATGTTTAGACTCTTGGCAGGGTGAAAGATGTGAATTTAAAGAAATCAATAAAACTCAGGTGATTAACCTATACATTAAAAGTATTTAGTTTAAGAAATATCAGTAATTAGTTATTTGAAAAATTGAATGCATTTAAAAACCTTTTTTTAGTTCTAGTTTGGTTGAATGTACACTTAAATACAACAAAATAGTTTCCGTGCACAAAACAACTATTTCTGGAATAAACTTTAAAAAGAGGCGGATGATATCAAGGGATCACTTAGAATGGTTCGTTATTGTCATCCTGGCATGGTTCGTTATAGTCATCCTGCTTTCTCGACGGAAAAGTTTACAAAATTATTCAGTTAAATCTAATTGCAACACGTAACCCGTATTTTAACGTTTTAGAAATTTCTCGAGAAGCGCCTTTATAAACACAAAATTATTTAGGAAATGACATTTTAAGAGTGACAACAAAAATGTATAACAAAAATACCGAACTCAAAGGTAAATTTAAAAAGGCGAAGTATATAAAAACTGAAAAAAAAATCAAACAATATCAACCAACGGAACAAGTGGAAAAAGTGTCATATTCCTGACTTGGTAGAGGCATTTTTCAAAGAAAATGGTGTGTTAAACATTGTTTTATAGCTAGCTAAACCTGCTGCTTTTTGTCAGTTGCTTGTGTGAAGTACATAACAGACATCCAATACAACTGGCTAAAACATTCAAACAAACATTCAAATTAATTTAACAAAGACGCCAACAAAAAAAAGGTAGTTGATAGTAAATTTAACAAAGAAGCCAACAATAATAATTATTTCTGATATAACCTTAACAAAAAGGCGGATGCTATCAAGGGACCACTTAATATTATTCATTTATTATATTTTTTAAAGCTGTGTACTGATCTGGAATATACCGAATGCTCCTGCTTTACTCATCAGCTGAAACCAAAACCAAAATCAAACAAATTATTAATTGGTAGCATAGGTTCTATCATAGGATTTTTTATGACTATTACTTTTTACACTGCATGGATGTTATTAAATGCAACGATTAATAAAGGTAATCGGGTTGATCCAGAGAAGACGAAAATATTTCACGATAACCAACCAATAAAGAATGCAAATATATCGGGACTTATAGATAAAAGTAAATCACCAGTAGTCAGTGACACGCGTCAAAAGAAACATCACAACTGTTTTACAGATCATAGTGGATTCGATTTTTCCAAACTATATTTAAACAAAGATGGTACAAAGAGAATTATCAAATGCAGACATCAAAGAGATTCATGATAATAAATAACCTTAACTTAGTTAGAATGTATATAAAACAGCAAGTTCTTACAACGAAAAGCGTGCAAAACGCAGTTTTTGTAGTTGATATTTATAGCTTTCTTTACGGAAAAGTTGAATATTAGGTTGACAATTACAAAACGAAATCGTGTTGTGCTAAGTTTTCTAACGGTTGATAATGCCTGCTGATATGTTAAATAATTTTACATGCTGTGTCATTAATTAATGAAAAGAACTTTGTGCAGACTATTGTTTGTCTTTTCGTCGTTTTTTTCTTGAACACTATCCTATTTTTTGGAAATTTATAGAAATTTATATGTGACGTCACATTGTGCGTCGATCTCTTCGGCTAACATATAATACGTTGTTCGGCTGTGCCTTTTTTATGTGCTGATTTAGGTTATTTTACGTATTCGTTGTTATTCTGTAGTTAGTCACAACTTCAGTACTGTTGTTTGTCTGTTTGTCTTGTTCTTTTTAGCCATGGCATTTTATTTATAACTAACTTTTCTAAAATTTTCCGTTTATAAATTTTTGAAATTATAAAGAAACTAAGGTTTCAACTCCCTCAGGCAAAGTTGACCTTAGATGAATTTGGCTATTTGTTTATAGGTATTTTTGTCATATAGCTCTTCAACTGTTTCAGTACTTATACATCTCTCGGATTTCAAATGTTTGGCATTGAGCGTTCCTGATGAAGGTAAATCTAGAAAAGCACTTCGGACGCATGAAATTATTAAACGTGTTGTTTTCAATTTTTTTATTTTCGACTTATGAGTTTGAATGTCCCTTTGGTATCTTTCACCTCTATTGGAATTGTTGAGCATAAATCAAATAGAAATTGTGCACCTTTAAGCCTATTCCAATTTCTTTCGGTATAAGAATATCATCTTTTGGGTAGTATAATTTGTTCCTTTGTGATATAACAGCCTACAATAATGACCTTTTCTTTATTTAATTCAGTCAAAATATCTTCGTTGTTTTTGTCATGGTCTCTTGGTTCTCCATCTGAGATAATAAACAACAATATTTTACGAAAACTGTACTTTTTACTTGAAAATAAGTACGATACTTTTTCAAGAGCAGAAATCAATGAACTTTACCGAAAATTAAAGGTTTAAACATATCAACTAGTTTCAGTATTCTTTTCTTTAGATTTTCTTTCGTAGTCACTGTTCCTTTAATAATGCCTCTTGCCTCATGAATTCGGATAATTGACTGCAAATTTACTTCTTTTAAGAGCCGATTTTTCCCGTCCTCTACACTTTTTTTTAACGTCAACAATTGTGCCACTTTTTTTACTAGAGATTCATAGGCGGAGGCAAAGACGTTTTGAAAACGATTAAGACCATTACTCGACATATTCTAACCTCCCCAATATTTGCAAGGAAACAACAATCATTCATTTCCAAAATACTTTTAAAAATTCATTATTCAATTGAAGTTCGTTTGCTTCACCCTTTGAAAGTACCTTTTTAATTACCCGTTCGTGTGCATATTTCTGTACTGGTTTTGCCCCCATTGCTTTCAAGCAGATCTAGCAACTCTTTCACAATTTTGTTATAGTCCCATTTTTTTCTTCCTTGTTGTTTTTTTCTGTTTCGAAATATTTGCATTGTTGAAAGCATGTCTTTTCGTAGTTGCTTAAAATGCAAGACAATGTTAATGCAGTTGATTTTCTATTATCTTTAAAGCATAAAAACAAAAACAAAAATCTGATAGATGTACAAATGTGAATAAAGTCGAAATCTACCTACGACCAATCTATCCAGATATCTGACGACTCCTTATAGGCTTGATTGATTGATTGGCGTTTAACGCCACTTTCATCACTATTGTGCTATTTAGTGGCGATCAGTTTTTATTGGTGGAGGAAGCTGGAGTGCCCGGAGAGAACCACCGACCTTCGGTAGGAAAACTGACAGTACTAGTCAATTAAGATTGGAGTCGAGTGCACCTACCACGTGCGGGATTCAAACTCACAACCTTAGCGAGAAAAGTCATTCCGATGCCATTTTAAATTACATTGGTTCGAGTAATAAACGAGACAAACTCTTATTTAGTTTTAAAGTGCATGACATTCTCATATCTAACAAAATATTATTCAAAAAGTGACAACAAATTGATGAAAGTTGGCCTACCTTAACTACATTTTTTATATTTTATACCAGAAAAGCTCAACAGGAAGTCCCAGTATATTATTTTCTCGCTCAACCATTAGATTGGGATTTGATGCTTTACCAGGCGTGTGGATGTAAATAACTTGGGTAAAATGTATACAATAAAGCTCGGCCTGGTAGAAATTGTTTAACATCCTTTTATGGAAGCAGCTGAGAAAAACGTTTCTTATTCAAAACGCAATTGCTACGGCATATGAATCTTTTGTCAAAGTGGCACAACTGAGGAAGTGACAAAATTTTAAGTGGAGTGTTTTGAAATAATTGTTTCATAGAAGACGACCATTATGTTCCAATTGTCATTACCATAACCCCCAGTTTTTGGTGGGATTAGTGTTGCTTAGTCTTTAGTTTTCTATGTTGTTTTTTGTGTACTGTTGTTTGTGTCCTTTCGTCGTTCTTCGTTTTTTGCCATGGTCATGGTATTGGTTTGTTTTGAACTTACGAATTTGAATAATCCTTTGGTATCTTTCGCCT